GGAGGTGGGCTGCTGTGAGTCGCCTGCGATGACTTAGGCTGCAGCGGGGCTGCAGTGGGCTGCCATGAGCTACATGAGTGGCTGGCAGCCAGTGTGAGTGGCTGGCAGCAGGCGAGAGCTGCTGTGAGTCGCAGTGAGTGGCCGACCAATGACCAGTGACCGATTGCCTCACCCGGGAAGAGCACAATGATCATACCAACATGGGCCAGTAAAGCGACATCCTCCACAACTAGACTGAAGAACAAAACAGCAATTTGTCTATCTGTCTGTTTCCTTTCCTCGATTCCCCAACGCCGTTCCCCTCCCCCCAATTCCCCAATAAAATATTTTTAAAAATAACAAAAAACTCAACTTCTGTGGTTTACAGCTATCTAGGAAAAAATAAGTCAGTAGCTAGTAACATGACCAAAACCCCTAAAGATCTAAAATGTAATCTGTGAGCCTCACAGTTTGGAACTCTAAAAAATTATGCTGAAAAGTCAGAATCTCCCACTACTGCACAGCATAGGTAAACAGAAGTGGTTTTAGTCAGCAGGCGCTCTCAATACACATTATTCCCTCTAAATCATATTATAATGTTGCTGCCTGGGTAACCTTAGCTACCCATTATATTATCAAGCCATCAAAAAGCTTTTTAAAAGCTTAGCAGAAAGATAAAATGCAAGGCCACAGAGAACATCATCCTTTTGGAATGTGGCCACTTTACCTAGGGTATTTAGAGTCATATACTGCTATAGGGAATGTAAAATGATATAGCACTTTGGAAAACTGTGGCATTTCTTCAAAAGGTCAAACATAGTCACCACATGACCAAGGAATTCCACTCCTATATACCCAAAATGAAAATATCTGTCCACAAAAAACTTTTACATGAATGTTCATAGCTGCATTATTCATAACATCTAAAAAGGAGAACCAATCCAAATGTCTATCAACTGAGGAACAGATGAATAAAATGGGGCATACCCATACAATGGATTATTTTACAGCAATAAGCAATTGAAGCACTGATATATGCTATAAAATGGATGAACCTTAAAAATATGCTAAAAAGCTAGTCACAAAGGACCACAAATTGCAGGATTCCACTGACATGAAATATTCAGTGTAGGTAAACCTACAGAGATGAAAATAGACTAGCGGTTGCCTAGGGCTAAAAGGTGTTAGGCAAAATAAAGAATGGATGCTAACAGATATTTTTTGTTTGTTTATTTTAAAGGAGATGATGAATATGTTCTAGTATTAACTGTGGTGATGTCTGAGCAACTCTGAATATACTAAAAACCACTGAATTGTGTATTTTAAATTGGGGAATTATATGGTATGTGAATTATATTTGAATAACGCTGTTACATATATTAAAAAAAAACAATGAACTGTCTTTATGCAAATAACTAAGTTGCTTGTATGTACTAAACTTTAGATCATAACTTCCTAAAAAAGCAAAGGTTGTTTTTAGTTTAAGTACCTATTTTGGTAATATAAACTTGGCAAAACCAAAATGCTAACAGGCACAACATCACACATAAGGAACTCAATAAGTGTTCATAGTGAACACTCAGGAAATAAAACCTAATGCTAAACTTGATCTTTATACCTTTGATCCTGAAAGTATTAAAAATTCAACTTTGACTTTTTACCTTACAAAACTGAAATCAAGTCTGGCCATGTCAGCGTTATCTTCTGGGATATTACGAGCCAAGATTCCTAATTGAACAAAGTTAAAGGATTAGTTCAAAAACAAGTCAGAATAAGGTACTTCTTTCCAATATAGTGTCAGCATTCAAGTTAAAGCCTCTCACATTGCTTAATTAAGAATGCCAAACACATAGTTAAAAAAATAAGATTAGCTGGTATATGTGAAAACCTTTTTTATCAGTCCCTGATTCCCCTTTTCTTAAGCAGCTAAATGTAAAAGGAATTTTCACATAACTGTTGCCAGCTCCATTAATCTATGTGCTCCCTTAAGTAAATGGCTTGCCTGATTCTTAGCACCACACCCTTTTATTCTGCCAATTTTTATTGTAACTGGTAAGTTAGCTATGCACATGTGTCTCACCATTTTAGTTGACATGCAATTCATTGTCTCAGATGAATGAACAAAGTAAAGCACTTTGAAAGTTACACTGTGATTCTTATAAAGTTTGAATCATGATAAAGTCTTTTCACACATAAAAATCTAAATATTTTCATTAACTCCAGCGGGAACTATTACTGTAAGTTAATGATCAGGTCAGGACTAATAGCAAGCAAAGGAAAAGAATCAATTCACTGCATATAAAGCAAACTAGATTTTAAACAGGTTCTAACATATTATGACATTTAGCAGCAAATGTTACAAAACCAATATACCCTCACAGGTAATTTTTTTTTGAGCTTATGACCTGCCTTTTCCTTGTCCGTTCTACAAAGCAGTCAACTAAAATATTCCTGGAAACCACTGGCTGTTTTAAACTGAAGGTACCCCCCCAGACTCAATAAACCGTGCCACTGAACACTCAGCCTTTACCTGTGAGGGGAAGCTTAGGTTTCAGCGTGTATAACTGGGCAGGAGTTTGATGGGGGTTCATTCCATATCTCAAGGGCATCTGAGACATTCCTTTACTATACTGTTTCCTGAAGTAGTCTGAAATCGCTTCATCATATTGTGCCGTATGAGTGAAAGCCTACAAAAAGTGTAAGTTCTGTGAAACACCAGCAGCATTTCCTAAAGTGGGGACCAGAGGGTGGTAGGTAGGACAAACACAGCAACACCCCCTCGACCTACATACACCCCCACGCAGGGAAGACACCAAATAACACGAAACAGTGCAGAGAATGATTCCCTTTCCAATTCTCTTTCAATCTTTTTAAGAGAATACGCCTCTAATATTTGGTCTCTTTGTAAAAAAAGGATAGCGGCTCTAAGTACAGCCTCGGTGGACAAAGTAAGGTAGTGAGGACTGAGCACTGTTTCGTTCTGCAAACACTGCATAAAAGTGCGCCCCCACCTTCAAGGCCAACTGGCGTCTAGTCTCCATGCAGGTGTCTTTACTGTCGGAGCTCTGCATCTCTGTGGACACGGCTGCGTAGTCCTCTGGTTCACACACTACGGTCACTCGTGCGTGGTTTTTAGCTGCTGCTCTCAGCAGGGTTACTCCCCCTTTGAAGAACAAAAGACCATTTGTTTTTCCTATCAGTTTGACGTCTTTCAAATATAGTCACTGTACACATGCTTTAACTTTAATTCATGGCTTAAAAAATGAGGGAAAAAAATAACCCAGATGAATCTGTACAGAGAGAGATAGCTTAGAAAATATAGATGAATTACAGTCATCCCAAAATACAACCTCAGAGCAGTAACTATTTCCTACTTCCTCAACAGTGAATTTCAAAACAAAATCTCATTTAAAATTTAAATAATCCTCTCCTCTTAGTCTTCAAAAATGGTTTTTCTACTTACCAATATCAATTTGCTCAACGGCCTCTTCAACAGTCACACCTGGAGAAGCCACTGTCTTCATAAAGGGATACAGGTTACAGACAACAACTCTAAAAGAAGAATTTAGCTGTCATCAAAAACTCAACTTCTGGGCCGGCTGAATGGCTCAGCTGGTTAAGAGCTCGCTTGGGAGCACCAGCTCTGAGCAGCAGTGCCGCGGTTCGGCTCCCANTCCTTTCAAAGTTTTTGGTTGTTCGTTTCAATTTTAACTATGATTCACTCTAATAAATATGACTTAGAAAGAAAAGTGATTTTTTACTCTTCTGTTCACGGGGTGGTATTTTTCACTAGGAAGAGCACATCTGGAGCCAGTTCTGCCAGGATCTGGCTACATGACCTCAGGCAGGTTGTTCAACAGCAAGACACAGGGATCAGGTTAAATCTGAGATTTATAATATCTTATAACTAAAGATACAACAGTCCTATAGCTGATACTCCAAGGCCCTGCGCCATAACCTACAGCCCTGCTGTCAGCTCCAAGGCAGTTGGGGTGGTCACGGTCACGGGAAGAATCCCCAAAGCAACTATGTATTGCCCAACCACATGTCCCGTTAGCCTTCACTACTACCTACTGTCTTCTCTCCCAGATACCTTCTTTTTTATTCTGTCAGTCTCTCCACCCCAGCACCACCAGATTTTTCTGGATTGTGTGGTACTCAGCTGATGGAAGTTGGTTTTTCAGAGTAGTTTATAATATTTCCTCCTATTATACAGTCTCTTTCATGACAGACCCATGAAGGTTCAAAGTTCTTTATTATATCACTTTCCAAGATGGCATCCTCTGTTCTTCGGAAATAGAAACTTGGGCATTAAGATAACAACTACTAGAAAATTTAAAAGAATTAACTATGTAAATTTAAACTTTATCATAACAGCCAAATATCCATTTGAAACATTAATTCACTAAATCTCAAAATTACAATTCAGTCAAAGATTCATGTTCTACATAAAACAGAAACATTCTAAATGATAAACCTATTTTAAAGATGGTAGAAATATAAATATTATAGGATACAGTTTCAATGAACACTATGAACAAATAAAGCTTGACTGCATTAAACTCGGATCAGGATACATAAATGTCCACTAACCTCTCTGGAGAGAATTTTGGCAGTAGGGACATCACATACATCAGATAATGCAACAAAGTCACCAAATGAAGACATCCTATCGGCCCCTGTAAATGAACATTAAAATGAGGTATTTATCACAAATTGGAAAAAGATAGTGTTTAGAAAAAGTCAATGTGATCATATAAAATCCAATTCTCAAATTTAATGTTATTGTTTACATAAGATTTAAATAATAGATTAATTTATAAGTCATTTAACTGAAATAATCAGCGAGGAAGAATTCTTTAATTTTACCTTTTAGAGCAGCACTCGGCATTTACTATCCTAGCCTGACAGTAAATATTTTTTAGGTTTTGTGGCTACATGGTCTCTGGTGCAACCCCTGGACTCCGTGGTTGTGGTTCGAAATCAGCCATTGACAATAAATGACAGAAACGTGACCCTGTTCCAATCAAACCATCAACAAAAAAATAGGTGGCAGGCTGAATTCTGCCCACAGTTTGCTAATTCCTGTTGTAGAAGGTAAACTATGATATCAGGTTTTGAATAATCTTCGTTATTTTCCATAAATGTGATAATAATATTCATACGTTATTAAATTCACAAACTAGATATTTGTGAAACATATAATTCTAACCAAAATTAGACTAACCATACGATTTTAGTCATACATTAAGCAATCCAAATGCATTCAATAGCCTAATCTGAAACTACATGCACCAGATTCCAATTATGTTTCCATTTATTACATTAAAATACCAATGCATACTTTTACAAACAAATCTATTCCAAGGCACTCATATAATCATTCTGAAGTATTAATAAAAAACAAATTAAAGATACTGTGAAATCTTAAGAGTGAAACAAAGATATTATCATTTTATTCTATTTTAGATAAAATATTGCTTTTACTGTTAAAAAACAATAAGCCCTGTTATCTTCTGACCTCTTGCTCTTGCATATGCAGTTGATATGGGTGTAAGGGTTTTATACATGTCATAGACCATGCACACTTTGGCCTCGTCTTCACTAAGTGGAATTCCAACAGCAGCACCTGGTATACAAAACCATAAAAGAAACCATAAATCTCAAGTTACTAATACTTGTCAACTACTAAATCAAGACAACATTTTTCTTACCACCTAGTCTATGCAGCGTAATTTCTAACACCTGTGCCAAATTAAACAAAAATCTGTTTGACCAGATCATTAAACACCAAAAATACAGCTGCAGGGGAAGGTGTGCAGGGGGAAATCTCTTCTCTCTGGACTCTGAAAACAGAGCCACGTGTCTGAGGCTGGCCAGCACCAGGTGCGTGTATGAAGCCAGTTTACTTCATTAATCACTCTCTCCACCCTGCTTGATACCACACAGTTTATTTCTTTCCTGCGCTTGTCGTTTTAACATCAAATAAATATCCGAGAACTTACATGTTGGACTCTCAGCAGATCTGGTGATATAAGTGACTAAGAGGTGGAGCCTTAAAAAGTAAAAAGGTATCTCATACAATGGCTATGAAAAGTTACAGATGAAGTGTCCCAAGAATAGCTTCTTAAGTTCTACTCAGTTCCATTTTAAACCATGTGGAAAAGTATTTAGTCATACTGCATTAAGTCATTTCATTTTTTTTTTTCTAAATTTCATGTTTCCACTACAAAAAATCTATTTCTTGATCTTCCAATGTTACACAATTATGTATATATAAATAACATGTTATTTTATTATCAGATTTTATCACGTGATCATATTGAAAGTGTTAACAGACTTGACAAAAGTGGTTTCAGACTTCATAGAATGTCTATACTTATATTAGAACTTCTAGATTCTTTTTAAAATGAAAAAGAAGTGCATTTCGAACAGTTTCAGAGTGTTCCAGAGCCCAGTGTTTTACCTGCTGGGCTGACGTGCTTGAAAGAGGCAGCAGCTGGAATGCCTAAAGCTTCCTTGAGTTCCTTCACCAGCTGCCAGGCATTCAAAGCATCACACAAGTTTATAAATCCAGGTGCTCCATTTAGAACTACATTTAAAAATATACACACACATTACCAAGTAGGGTCAATAAGGTCAGATATATGAACATTTCTTAAAACATAAAAACATTTATCAAGACTGCACAGATACGTTTTAAGTGACATATAAGAGGTAAACAAATCTACACAAACATAAAAACTTGATGAGAAAAGTAAACAAAGCTCTAGAGCCTAATTACTGAGCCCGTCTTACACACACACACACACACACACACACACAAAGAACATGCACACAGCCACTACTGAAGGACCAAATCCAGCCCATCTAGAAGAAAACCAAGAGAAATTCAGGAAGGGACAAAGGGAGAATGATAAGACGAGTGATGATCAGGGATCCATTTCAGTACAGGACTAAGGATAATCAATTAATGCAATTATAGAAACAGTATAAAATTTAACTTATAAACCTTGTCAACCTAAGAAATAATATTACAAACTACAGTGCAAGAACTATGAGTGGGAGGAGGTGGGGGAAAAAATGTGTTAGATTTTTTTTCTTTTATACCAGACTCAGTAGGTTCTGCCTAAATTTGAAATGCAGTTAAAAAAACTACAACTTCCGAATTCTGCACTGCCTACTTTCTTAACAATGGCAGGATTTCTTAGAAGCTAATATCTCTTGTGAATAAACATTTGTAAGTTCTGCACATACAAAAAAACAGTGGATCATTAATTAAAAACAAACTTAGAAATAAATGCATTTCCTTTGTGTTATCTTAGGTACTAGATACTTTTAAAAGTAAGACTTTGTCAAATATTTCCTGAGTGCCTACTGCAATGTTAGGCACCGCAGTGCATGTCTGGGATATTATCAGTGAATAAAATAGTCCATCCCTACCTCCATCCCCACCCCCCACCCCCCAAAAAATCACTGTCCTTCTGGAGCTTATGGGAGAGGCATTGAAGAAACAAAATAGGCAATAAACAGTAAGAGAAAATATTAGGTATTTATACAAATGAGTTGAAAACATCTCCACACAAAAACTTGTACTGAATGTTTAGTAGCTTTATTCATAACTGTCAAAAATTGTCCTTCCACTTTTTTTACGTCCTTCAATAGGTAAATGGAGAAACCAACTATGTTAAATCCACATACAATGGAATATTACTCAGTGATAAGAAATGATCTCTCAAGCCACCAAGAGGAATCTTAAATCCATTTATTGAATAAAAGAAGCCAAAGTACAATTCTAACATTATGACATTCTGGAAACAGCAAAACTATGGAGACAGCAGAAAGGTCAGTGGTTGCCAGGTATTTTTAGGGGGTGAAACTATTCTCGGTGCTATTATCGAGGCGGATACATGACATTATGCATTTGCCAAAACCCACAGGATGTACGACAATGAGTAAAACAACGTCAACTATGGACCTTAGTTAATAATGATGAATCATGATTGTTTCATCAGTTATAACAAATGCACCACACCAATGAAAGATGCTAACAGGAGACGGATAAGCCTGGGGTCTGGGAACTGTAATTTCTGAGAAATTTTTCTGTAAATCTAAAACTGCTCTAAAAAACAGTACTTAAAAAAAAAGAAATCGTTTCCTTGACTAAGTCAAGTACAAATGGAAAAGCTGTTGAAAATGAAAAGATATGGGAACTGAAAGTACATGAAGTATTTTTTGCCTCAGCATCTAAATGGGGAACATCTACCTATAACGAAGAAACATGTGAGATAACAATAGCAGATAGATCTGTTTTAAGAAATTCTAGAAGTAAAATTTGTGCAAAATGTCACGTTTCTAATTATTCATTCAATAAATATACAGGAAACCCGACAAGCAATATTCTAATCACTGGGGATAGAGCAATGAACAAACAAGAAGCAATGAACAAAGACAGACAAGGTTTCTATTCTAGAGAGCTGACATCCAAAGAGAAGACAATTCAAATACATGCAACAAAATAAATGAGTGATGTGGTAAAAGCACGATGGGGAGCTACATTGGTCTGGGTGGTCAGGGAAGGCTTCTCGGAGGTGGTGACATTTAAGGTGAGAGCTAAATGACAAGAAGCTGGAACGATGAAGACTAGAAGGGAGAATTCTAGGTGGAAGGAGCAACCAGTGCAAAGGCCCTGGGGTGGAAGAAGCGCAGCCCGCTGAACGAACACAAAAAAGGTGCTGAGGAGAAATCGGTCAGGGGAGGCCTGTGGAGGAGGCCTAGAGATAACGGGGTTTGTAGGGCAGGACGAGGCCTTGAAGGAGGAAGGAGAGCCGAGGAACGGTTTCAAGTGCGGTGTAACAACATCTGTTTACATTTTTAAAAGACGACTATGTTGTGAAGAGACAGGACAAAGAGAAAGCTGAGATTTGTTAAGATTATTGCAGTCTGGGGGACTATGGGGGTGACTGGGGGTTTGGGTTGTATTAGAAAAGATTGAAAATGTATCTGAGGTAGAGTGATAACAGAGCTTGCTGATCCACTAAAAAGTGAAGGGAAGAGAAAAGAGCATTTCAGTTTCTCCTCAGACCTCCCACCCTGCTGCCTGCTGGCTTCTCTCTGTCGGGTGGTGACAAGGAGCAAAGGGGAGCAGGCAGAAGTGCCTGCGTCATCCCAGCACAGTGGGCCGAGCCCAGTGCTCTGGGCTCACTTTCTCAGGCTAAAGGAAGCCATCCCTGCTGTCCCCCAACACCAACCCTCCCAGCAGTGCCTGGGCGTCCATGCCCTTCACACCCACAACTCTCTCCTGTGCCCCCAGCACCCACCTGCCCTTCTACCAGAGCAGGACATACTCTAAGAGCCAACCTTAAGGACAAAACAGAGGGGTCGGCTGAGTGGCTCAGTTGGTTAAGAGCTTGCTCAAGAGCACGAGCTCCGAGCAACAGGGTCGCCAGTTCGATTCCCACATGGGCCAGTGAGCTGCGCCCGAGCTGAGCTGCCACTGAGCTGCCAACAGGTGGCAGGATGGTTTAGCACGTGCTCCTAACAAGACTGCCTGTTTGATGGTGGGCTATGCCTGCCCGCAACTAAGACTGAACTCGGCACCTTGAGCTGAGCTGCCGCCTGGGTGGCTCAGGGGATAGAGCATGCGCTCTTAACAACAAGGCTGCTGGTTCTACTCCTGTATGGGATGGTGGCTATGCCCACCCGCAACTAAGACTGAACTCAGCATCTTGAGCTAAGCTGCCTCCCGGATGGCTTAGTGAATAGAGCATGCACTTTTAACGAGGCTGCTGGTTTGACTCCTGCAGGGGATGGTGGCTACGCCCACCCACAACTAAGATTGTCACACAGCACCTTGAGTTTAGAGGCCACGAGCTGCTGACGGGAAGCCAGACGGTGACTGGACTTGGAGCTGAGCTAGCTGCGCCCTCCACAACTAAG